TTTTTTCAGTATTCTAAGAATCAGAACAAAACAAACGAATAAATTAAAAGATTAAATATGATAAATTCAATTGCACTGTGCTTAGTACTCATTAAAGGCTGCTTTATATAAAGTAAAAAATGCAGTGGCATAATGTAATCAATAATTTGAAATTGGACCGCGATGAGAATAAATCTAATTATATAAGAGAAATCTTATTTTCGGTCAAAGCGAATCTTGGTGCTTTAATATTTTGCGGTGTGAATTTATATACACCCAATTCTGCGAACCACGTGCCGAAATCTTTTTCAGTCTTGAAAGGCAATCATAAACAAAACTAGAGAAGTAATACCACAGCAATTTAATAATTGTGTGCTCAGTTGGCTGAGGTAATATTTTTTGCGATAAACCATTCGCAGTTTTTATGATTCTTATTAACATCAAATTATATATTAATATTTTTATAACATACTTATTATTAGCACTAATATTATTAAATTACTTGTCAATGTGATTACTACTGTATTATTATTTTAATTCTGTTTATAATTGCGTTTGCAGAATTGGATGTATATAAATTCACACTAAAATATTTAAGAGATTCGTTTTGACCGAAAATAAGATTTCTCTTACATAATTAGATAATGTGTGAGATCAACTTTAATAATAATAATACACATTCAGTTAAATATCGTGACAATATCATCTGGTATTTAATCGTTTAGAATGTTTACAAGTTTCTATATTTACTATGAATATAATTTCATGAAGAACTGCTTTTAATATGCTTTAATATGCTTCAATTTAATGTAATGCAAGTGACGGAATTTGCTATTAATCTATATGATAGAAATAAATTTTAAACAACGAATTTAAAACGCAATTGGGATGCGAACCAACACTCCCTGCGCCCCTAAGGTGGTCACGACAACCGGAACGTGTTCGATCAACTGTTCAGCCACGCTTTTTGTAGTCACCAGGTCCATACTCTCGGAAACGGGGATGTTGAAGTGTTCGCCTATTACTTTCAGTTCGTTCTGGTTAGGTGAGACAAAGTGCAGTACGTTTTTCCATTGTGGTCCAACTTGAAATATCTTCGCCGCCGTTTTAACATCCGTAGGCTCGTACCAGACTATCGAGAAAAATTATTAAAATCTTTATTCGTTCCACAAATTATTTACACTTATTAAAATTATTCAAGGTCTACTATTTTGTTGTATAACTCTCAAGAAGTTTTTAGTTTACAGAAGCGTGTGCTCTACAGGCAAAAAGTGAAAAGTTAAAAGGATAAAAAGATTTTATTACTTAATTTTCCTTAATGGGCACAAAAAATTCCTCTTCGAAGCAGGGGAGGGAAAGGTCGTCGAAATTCCAGGGGAAGGGGATACATATTGCGGAACGCGCAACCGGCGCAAACCAGCGCAAACAACGCGCTCTAGCGTTCGCGCGCTGAGCTAAGCTTCCTCCGAGCCGAGAGGAAGTCGCATACTTGTGCGTTCCAAGTGGAATACGAGAATATACGACGAACACGAGGAGTTTATACTTCCTTTTTCACCGTCCTTCGTTACGTATACATTCGAGTGACGCTCACGAGTGATGGGGAAGACGAGGACGGGCAAGGCCGCCGTTGTGTGCACGGCGGTGGCGTTCGTTCTGGTGGTGATCGCGTTCACCACACCCAACTGGCTGGAGACCGATGGGAAATTGGATAATCCACAATTCGTCAAGATTGGTAAGATTATACGTGACTGGATGCGTAGATATCTATACTCTTGCATCTATAAATAACTTATATTTGAAATTGATATTCAAATATTGGACATAGATACAAAGGAGTTGTCAATTTTGGTGTCTCTTATGCTCGTTTCCACATTAATATAGATTAACTTTAATCTCAATTCAACTTACTCTTCATGTTTTTTTTTTCATCTTTTTCTAATTTTTAGAACTAGAAAAAAATGAAGAGTAAGATGAACCGAGTTGATCTATATTGGTGGAGTATTAGTAAATTCGATTGAATGTACTCAGTGCGTACTGATGCATATTAGAGATCCTATATTAGAGTCTGACTACGAGCGATTTTGTCAAAATCCTAGAAAAAAAGAAAGGTACATAAGTATATAATTTCTCCCCGTGCAACGCAAGTGACCGAATTCGCTACTAATTGGTAGAAATGAATATTAGATATATATACTCACTCTAACTCAAAGAACGTACAAAAGTTTACAACAGAATAAAATGATTCTATTTTAATTCTTAACATCAATAGACAGTCAAATTTTGTAAAGTCATTTCAAAAATCATTATTTTAACTTTCATTTTGACTTCTGTTAAAATAAAGTCATTTTGATTTTCTCTTAACTTGGTGTATTTCTTGAGAATTTATACTATCCCACTATATAATCTTAATTAAAGTTATAGAGTGAAACAATAAAAGTTAGAATGAGATAATATATATACATGGAGAGAATTACATATATCTTTCTCTCATAGGATTTTGACAAATCGCCTATAGCCAAACTGTTATAAGATGCATATTAACTAAAGCCATTGTATACAAATTGATGAAGCTGTGTGTGTTCAATATAAATATAGAAACAGGTTAAACCGAGAAATTCTCGATACATTTTATTGTGTTGTTAAATAAAATATGTATTTTATAATTCAAAATATTTGAATTTCACTTTTACATTTAAATTAAATCATGTACGACGGTTTTAATATTCAGCAATACCAGTGTGTTATATATATACATAATAGAATTGGTCGTCAGAAAATTATTATTTTATTTATTCTGTTTCTTATCACAGAATTTTTTTTAAGTTTCTTATGGAATGGTAATTGTATTTGAAAAACTGTTTTGAAACATACCTTTCTACTATGTCCAATTAATAATTTATTTTCTAATAATGTGCTTATATAAGCTTGAGATTTAGCTGCCAGCGACAAAGCGATTGAGAAACAATGCTGTTTGCAGGTCTCTGGCAGGTGTGTTTCCGAGGATTCCAAGATCCGCGTCATCTCTATGATACCAGATTCTATGGATGTTGGTGGGTGTTCGAAGAAGAGTATTATATCATACACGACATTCTTCTGCCCGATTTCTTCGTCGCCACGCAATTCTTCTTCACGCTGTGCTTCACTTTGTTGCTGATAGGAAGTTTTCTGACTATTTTATATACTTGTTGCTCGCGTCAGCATGACAAGTATCAGCTGCTTCTGTGGACAATCGGTGGCAATTTAACTTTGGCAGGAATATGCGGTGTTATATCGGTGATTATATTCGGCGCCAGAGGTGACGGTCGAGATTGGATGCCCAATTGGGAGCACAATGATATCAGTTGGTCCTTCGCCTTAGCCGTCGTCGGCAGTTTTGTCCTGATAGCCGCTGGTATCTTATACTTGATCGAAGGACGTAGACATAGGAAGAAGCAGGAGCGAATATTGAACGAAGAACAAAAAACACATACGACCATTTAGCATATTTTTACATCATAATCGAACAAATATTCGCGATGTATCAAATGATACATTGCGTAAGCGCAAATTTTATCCACTGAACATGTATCACGGATAAATCTCTTTGAAGACTAATAATTTTATATTAATTGTTACGCATCTACTCATCGTAACGTTATAGAATCTGCCGATATACATATTATCTAAGATACATATATATTTTAAATATATAGAGACTAGAAGTCATTGACTTGCGTTGACAAAAATTTAAATTATATGAAACATTTTCTATAAATGATGCACGACTAGATGTCGTAAATATTATTAAATGTGTAACGCACATATCTGAACTAATCCGTCCATTTAACTGTATCGATTTTTTTTTAATTTTCTAGGGATTAATTATATATTTGTACATAAGTTCTATAGATATATATTGATGTTGAGAGAGATAAATCTCCCACTTGTATACTGTATACAAATATAATAAAATAATTTTTCTTAATAAATAGTTACCATGTTTTTACTCTCATCCAAGAAGAAAAAAAATCAAGATAAATCAATTTGACGTTATATTAATCAAATTCATGTCATTTTTTTTGTCATGATTCAGTATAACATTATTTCGTCTTTCTTGTTTTTTTTTTCTTATACAAATATTCAGATTGCATGTCAAATTTTCGATTACAAATTAAATCAATTAAATATACCTCTGCACACAGTGACCCACTTTGTTCTCACAAATTATAAGACGCAGGTCTTTCGCGTGCACGCGATAACGCGGAGGAAAATGTTCGCCGTTTGACCTAATTTAGATTCTATTCTAATCGACCGTGCTGAATCTTCCGCAGTTATGTCAGTTGCGGCCGGCATAATGCGTCATCTTGTGGATCGTTCGTCGAGATCTCGAGGTGACACATTTGCGTATTGCGGAGGAATTCTATTCAGCGATGACTCGCGTCGCGCAACTACATACAACATAATTTTTGTGATTCAGTTACAGGATGTGCATACGTTAATTTCTACGAATATGATATACGTCTTTTTTTGGAGAAAATATGAATGAGAATAGAGAAAATGGATTTGTAAGAGAAGCGGAAGTCACGTAAAAGAAAAGAAAGCGTTCTTCCTCGCCGAGAAATTGTTTACGATCATTTTAGACGATTTCTAATTCTCGTGAGACATTTCAAGACGGAAATCGTTACGTTTTTATGCCGTGCATTATTCGACATGGACAAACTTTTCGACAAGACTTGTTATTTTCATTATAAAGATATAAAGACGTTTCCTGTTATGGGCAAATCAAAGATTTTTATAATAAAACAAAGAAATAGAGAGAAAGATACAGAAGTTTATGGTGCGAATGCATTTAAAAAATACGCGTGTTTTCTCATTTTTCAATTGATTTTGCAAATTATAAATAGAAAATTATAAATCCTAGATGAGATGTATACTTTCTGTAATAAAATTACAGATTTTAAGACGCTTATTCAGATAATAATTAACATCCTTCTAAGACATGGACATCAATATTATTAAATTGCTCAACTTAATTTGTGATATTATTACTCTATAAGTAGGATTGCGTTTCAAGATTGAAAACTAAACTCGACGCGCAGTTTACAAGATTAGATATGATTTATAAATATAAATATATAAATTTACATCGAATTATTTAAACGATCCAGCTTGACTGATCCAGTTTAGGACCTTTATTTCCTACTTGTATAGATAAAACATTATTCTGAATTCTCCGCGAGGATTTATCGATCGCCTGAAGCAAGTTTTAGGCTTAGAAACGCACTATTCGCGGTTCGCTTACGTCCTACAGGATCAAGGTCGGAATGCGATCATGAGGAGAGAAACGATATGCATAAATAAGACGTGCGACATGAGCTGACACATTATGCACCTTGACGGTGCAGGGACGACGAGAGAAGCGACAGGATCACCGCGAATTTCCAAAGACCTCAAAAAACTTTTTGACAAGAAAACGCAAATTCTTAACTCCATTTTTTTTTTCAATTTATACTACAGACATTTTAAATGTCAATTTATTATTAATTTCTTTATTAGCTTCATATCAGTATCGTAATATTTTATTGAAAATGATGTTTCTGTGTTTCTTTTTTTATTTTCAGAATTCTTTTCTTATGAAACTCCGACTTATTAAGAGTCCAGTTCTACCGGTGTAATTAAGATTAACTTTAATCTCGATTTTAATTTACTTTATCTTAAAATTAGAAAAAGATAAAGAATAAGTTGAACCGAGATTAAAGTTAATTTACATTCGAGGAAATAGATGTAAGACAAGTCAGAGCCAGGTCAAAATATTATTGTTTTGGAACCAAAGGTTCAGCAGATTACCTCCTTTTTGGGGGGATAAAGGAAGGCATTCTTTTTTTGCTCCCAGGATATATCATTGTCAGAATCCAAGCCCTCGCAGTGGACGGTCCTGCATAGATTCGTTACGTTTAACGCCCCGCTCGTGAGAATCGTGGGATACTTACTTGCGCGTGGGGCTGTTTGTCGAGTCGAGGTGAAACACGGGTTAAGTTAGGTTAGTTAGAACTCGGCCGTTCGCTCCGCCAATAACGCGGGTCGCTTGGGTGTGGTTATTAGTGCCGTGGGACCGTCAGGTAGAATTGTGTTCCATGAGAGTATAGTTTACGCTGCGCGTCCAGACGGTCGGACGTCTCGTCTCTCTTTCACGATCGTCTCGGTAGCACGCGAAGCGGCGACATGAAGAAGAGGAGCCTGTCCGGCAACGTCGGCGTTGGCGTCTTCCTGGTAGGATTCGTCTGCGTGTGCGTCGCCTTCGGCACACCCTCCTGGTTAGTCAGCGATCCACGGATCGTCGGGGCGCAACTCGACCGACTTGGCCTTTGGCGACACTGCTTCAGATCACTGCCCAACCCCCAGGAGTCCGACGCGCCCAGGCGATTCTTCGTTGGCTGCAGATGGGTCTACGATCCGTTCACCGCGGGTTACTCTGAAATCCGCGGCTTCTTATTGCCCCGTAAGTAGTCGTGCAATCGGTGTAACAATCTCGAACACATCCGAGCGAAAATGTCCTTCTTATGTTTCTACCAATGTTAACTTTAATCTTAGTTATTTTTCATCTTTTTCTGATTCTTAGTACTAGAAAAAGATGAAGAGTTAATTGAATCGGGATTACAATTCAAACTACATTAGCAGAAATAGACTCTTTAACATCGAACAGTGAATCTTTCACTTTTCTTCCTGAGAAGGAGAGATTTGCTATTATTAAAGGAATAATATCTTGGATTGTGTTCTAAAATTCAGTACTGAAAATGTATAATACACATAATGTAAACTATATATTTTTAGCACTAACAATGAATTTTGGAACACAGTCTTAATAGACTATCTTGGACTGTTGTTGAATTTGAAATGCATTGATAATAGAATGACAATATTTGTTAATACTGTTGATAGTTATTACTGAGAACTTTCCAGGAGACATATATCGAAAGTTTTTGTTCAGCGAGAGACAGAGAGAATGACTCTTGTGTCGATCATGTATCCCTTGCTGGAAAGCTCCCAGGAATAATAGATCAACGATCATGTGTTTAACATAATATTTTTTGTTATAGCTTTTATGATAGCCACGCAAGTGTTCTTCACAATATGCTTTCTGCTGGGTCTAGTATCATTCTTTCTGATATTACTCTTCACTCTGTGCTGTGACCCAGAAAGAAAGAGATATATCGAGCTGATAACTATCATTGGTTACTTGCTGCTGGGTAGTGGTATCAGCGGTGGCATAGCAGTCATCGTATTTGCTTGCCTTGGTAACGCCAACGGTTGGATGCCTGGACACGCCAACAATTATTTAGGATGGTCTTTCGCTCTAGCTGTCATAGGCAGTGTACTGATGTTGATCGCCAGCGGTTTATTGTTGGTAGAGGCAAACGTGCAACGAAAGAAACGAGACTATCTGAAAGAATCTCAAATGCGTTTTCAACTTGAATCTCGCGCCTAGAATAAATAGCATTTCCTGACTTGTTTGCAAGAATTGCGCACAAGCGTCTGTATTAAAAGTCTGTAGTACCGTTCCGTCCATGCAGGGTGCAACGTTTTATTTTAGAACTTTTCTCTTTCTCTATGGAATGTACAAAAAAGAAATAGATCTGTATTAATTTAAGTTTAGAAAATACGTAAGTTTAATATTTTTGTACAATATTTTATATCTCTCTTTACATAATATTACGTACATTAGATCATAGTACTGTATGGTAATATCGTTATTAACGATATAAGACGGTGCACGCGTCTTAAAACAATTGCAGAAAAATTCGCAAGAAATTAAATAATATAAAAACGGTCCACGAAACAATTGTGCCTTTTTAATATAAAGATTAAAGCTTGATTATATATATATATATAGAGTAAATTTTTTAATTCGTCGATTGATCCAATTGCACTGTGCGCAAATGTAATTTTGTTCCGATTATTCCGGGGTAACGATATCTTAAAACCGAACAGTTTAGAATATATATAATGCGAACATGATACATATTTCGCCGTACCAGTGTACTATTGGTTTATTTAACAATGCGAATCAGTTGCTGAAACCAAATGGATTACTAATCAAATGATAAGCTTGTCGATAGAATTGTGTGTAAGACACGTATGCTAAACTAAAGAATTTCTGTAAAATCGATATAGTGATCAGCACAGAAACACCTAATTTCTGTCGACATTGAAATGAGAAAACCTTATAAGACCCGCTCGAACATTAAAAAAAAAAAAGAAAACAGTCTCTCGCTTTTCACGGATCTAAGAAAGTCTTTGAATTCGAGACATTATATTCGACAAGTCTTATCGTAAATTTAATTCGCAGTTTAATCCACTTCTTCCATTCTTGACGCTTCCTCTGAGTCAACCTCCAACGTAGGCACTTCCATCTTCTCGTCCTCTGCATTCGACCTATCCTCATCGTCAAAACCCAGACAGACCTAACTTGATTATCCTATATATTCTGGAAGCATGCACCTGCGAATCTTCGAGGGCAAAAAGCTGCATTTGCGCATAATGCGATTAATCAATCGATGAATTAAAAAATCGTCCATATATTTATATAAAATCGTGAGCTGTGAGGAAAAGTTATTTATGAATCGCGCACAGTTAATAATCATTTTGTCACTTCTCTTCTTCTATACAAAAGATGCATTTAATTAAGATGCAACGCTATTTTTTAAATCTCTCATTTTTTGACTAATATTTTATTTTAATTTTAACTTATTAACTTGATCATTTGATGTCACACTTGATTTTTATTACTTATATATAGTTTTTCACGAACTTTTCTGTGTAGCGTTTTGAGACGCAAATGCCTTGTAGATTGTATCTACATACATATATGTAAATTGTATTAAATTTTATGCACGAGATTATATTCGCACAATGCAGCTATGCAATACATATCAATGAAAATCTAAGCTAATGAGATTAATAATTAATAATTAATTAAAGATCAAAACAAATTTTGTAATTCTATCCTTTACCAAATAAACCTTCTAATACAAGATATTTTTATTTCTGCAGTCTATCAATCTCTCTTAAATTTCTCTCTGAAATTCAAATAAATTACACCTCTCGTTAAATAAGATAGTAAATTTTGAAATATATAACTATAATTCAGACAAACTAACGAAAAATCTGTTGAAAAACTGAAGCATTTTTTTATCTTTTTTTTTTAACGAAGACGTTATTATTAAGTTCCTTTAATCAGCACCTATCCCTGCATTCGTTTACGCAGCGGTTAGCGCAGAAGTATTATTTTATCCTTGTTGTTCGCCATTAAAATATTGTACTAGTTTCATGTCTTACCAAGAAAACGAAAAATGTTAAATTTCTTTGATTTTCTAAGGTCAAAATTATTCAACAATGATTTCAAGTCAATTAAAGAACAAAAATAGATATAAAAATTGATGCGGCTAAAATTGATATAATTAATTAAACATTTGTTAGTTTGCAATATGTATATATATATACTACGGATAAAGAACTTTTTGAAATGATCAAAAGCATATTTGTAAAAACTTTAAATGTCAAAATACTTTTTAAATTTTGTGTTGAATAATATATAGAATAATATACACATATATTATACACATAGAATAATATATACATATATTAATGTATAGTGATGGTCATGAAAATAGAACGGTATATAAAAATTAAAAATAATTATTTTGTTCATCTATTTTCACTTGCTGATAATGTTATTTATTGTACAGCAGCAATAATTCATATCAACTAAAAAAACATAATGAATTATTGCTGAAATAAAGTGCATGTCGTATTGCAATAATCCTAAAGTGTCCTGTGCTGTAAGTCTGGTCATAATAATAAAACCCAATTATTAATATCAGTTTATTAATATAAAAAAAGTTTGTTAAATATTAATATTAATAAACTCACATTTTAAGAAACGTTAATAATTTGGCTTTATGACATGTAACACGTTACTTTTTAAAACGAGTAACGATAACGAGTTATTTTTAACAAAAAGTAACTGTAACGGTAATGCATTATTTTTCTAAGGTAATGTTCCTAATTCTGTATATGTATTACACAGTTTTTTTTAGCACACTATTAATAGTCTGATCTTAGTACGCCGTTTGAATCTCGCGCAACATTTGGAGGCAAAATTTGATTGGCTGCTCCAGTATTCAGTCGCCATTATGCGCAATGGTACACCTTACAGAAAACAGACCACTTGTTTTCTTATATCATAGTAGTGGTGATCCAGGTTGATGCGGATTCACTGGGTGTGGCGAGGGTGAGGTGCGGTGACGAACGACAACACAATTGTAAACGAACTATTTATACAGATCAGTTAGTTTCACGTTGGCCTTTCTAAAAGGTCACCATGACGGTGGACAAGCAAGATTATCACAGAGCGTCCAGTGAGTAATTGATTAAGTCAATCAACAGAGCGATTATTTAAAATAACCTGTATTAATTGTCCTTCGTTTTCATTGATAGACGCGGTTGTTTTCGGTGGAGGACTCTCGTTCGTGGCGCTCTTTCTCCTAATGATGGCCTTCATAAGGTAAACATACCTTCAAGCGATTGTTATAAGTAACTAAGAATCTCAAATTGGCTTGAAACATATGAAAACAGTGTTACTGATCCTCCTCATAATTTCCAGTCCGTATTGGATAGAATCGTATCAGGAGACGTTCAGCAGCTTTAAGCACATGGGACTCTGGGAGTATTGCTTTGAGCAATTCCGTTATCCCTATTATCAGTTTGACAAACAATTCGACGGCTGCCACCATATATTTTCACAAGAATATTATGTCATAAGAGAGTGGCTGCTGCCAGTATGGCTCATGGTAGTGCAGGCATTTGTCACATTGGCCTTAATGCTATCCATCTTTGCCTTCATTGCAATTGCCTTGATTTGGACACGTTGGCCATTGATATTTGTCTTGCATTATGAATGGATTCTGTCGTCCTTTGTGTTTGTATGTGATGCAGCTGCTGGTAAGTTCTTAAAGTTAAAGATAGAAGATACCAAATGTTCTTTAATGTAATTATTTTTTAATTTTAGGCGTGCTTCTCTTTCTGGCAGTTTCTATATTCGGTGGACAATGCTGGCGTCGTGATTGGTTAATGTATCCGAATTTCAATCACTTGTCATGGTCATATGGTCTTGCTGTCATATCATTCATGATCCACACGTTTGCCGCATTCTTTCTTTATTTAGACGCGCGGACAGGTTACAGACTACGCAAAGAGTCTCGTAACTTGGTGATGCAGATGCAGCCGAATCCACAATCTCAACATGCCCCGTCTAGCCGAAGCGGATACGTATAAAGTAATCTCAAATCGTGTGCTTTTGGTGAAAAATTTAATTTCCACATAAATTCTTATCGTTATTTTTAATGCAGAAGCAAAAGATAAGATCTGTCTCTTAAGAAAGATTGTACACCATTTGTGTACGATTTTCATCCGTCCATTTAATTTGTTCATTAAAAATAAAAGCTTTATACATACATATATATGTACACACATATATATATATATATATATTTGTGTGTGTGTATGTTATAAGCTCTTACAATTATTTTTAATAAATTGTTCCATGTGAGAGTGGTCGACCAATTGGCAGGTCCCCGGTTTGATCCCGACTCTCATCCCCTGTATGTACCTCCGTTTTAAGAGGTTAATTTTCAGAGTTGAAAGTTATAAGCAAAGTAATATAAGGCGATCTTTCGAGAATCTACATTTCATTTGTATTTAATTTAAAAAGGATAAACGTGTGTGTTACGATTGTCGCCTTTTCTCGAGTTAATTAACTTACATTCGATTTACTTTAAACTAATTCGCTTATGCGTGAATAATATCCGTCCGTTATACTCACGTGCACACATTATTTTTTTTATCACATTTTTATATATATATATATATATTTTATACATTCTATATAGAATACATATAATAGAATTATATTATTTGACTTACAAATGTACAGGAAATTAATAAATGACGAAATATTCTTTTTCGTGAACGAAACGACAGTAAGTTATTGAAGAAGTTTTCACTCACCTGGAATATTCGCTTGCGACGCAATGTCGAGCACGTAGCGCATGACGTCCAATTCAAAACTTGTGTCAAGAACGATGAAACTTGCTTTTTCGAGATGCGACTGATACTCTTTTATCGACTTCGGGGTAATCAAAGCGAAGCATTCCATTTCGCTAACGTAGAAATGACATTCGCCATTAACGTCCACTATCACTGTCATCCTGTAATATTAGAGATAATTTATCAAATACGAATGGATCTGCTGATATTCGGATAATCAATTTGTCGAATTATCTTATTACTTAAATTCGGATATCGGAACAATTCGAATCTGCATATCTAAAGAGACGAATTTATTGGAATCTGAATTTGTTAATTTGCATTCTTAAGTACAGCAAATTAGACAATTAGAAAGCAATGTTCTCGTTTCTTTCCTGGTCTTCTTAACTGATTCTAAAAGAGGCTATTATCCAAGCACGTCAACATTTATAAATTTGTAATTGTATAATAATTATTTCAGCTAATTATTTGGATATACAATATTATACTGTCCAGATATATATACAGTCTTCTATATTATTCAACGGAACTATCGGACAAGTTTTCGCTGCCGAATACTCATTAACGAAGCAAGATTACGACTCGTACTTTGCGGTGTCCACGTCCGACATACGTTTCACTATCTCGCCTCCGACTCCCAAGCTCTCGAGAATGATCTTCCCGTGCTCGTCATCGCCAACGATGGATATTAAACGCGTATTTTCCAAACCAAGCTTGAGTAGTGCATCAGCAACGTTTCGACCAACTCCACCGCAGCTTCGTCTACTTCGTCCGGTATGCGTTCTCCCGTCATTCTGGAAATGAATCACTCTCTTCAGGATTATTCGGATTACTCTACATGAATGCTGTTAGACGATTAATCGATTTTTCATGTCGAAGTTATATTTTCCGTATGGCAAAGAGGGAGGAAAAAAAATGCAAAGATTAAAACTATAAAAATTCTCTTAAGAGAGAACTTTTATGATTTTAGTAAAGAAGAAAATGTTTTAAGAAGAGAGCATAGAATGTAGAAAGAGCGGATCTATACTCTTCGAGGAAGTTAGTCCTTGGAGCTATAAAGGAGTGTTTATATCTTTGGGTATATCTGTTTTTTCTCCAGTTTGTAAAAATTCAATTAAACGTGGAGTATTCGCTCCAGAGTCGTACAGCTGATAGAGAGTGCTTAGGGAAAGCATGCAAAGTCCCATCCCTGTGATACTCAAGTTGGCATATAGTGTTTACCCTTTCCATTCTCTTCTCTCCATTCCTATATCTTGTGATATACAGTATAACCGATGCCTACGTATCTCCGTTCTATACTTTCTTTCTCTCTACTCTCTCCCTCTCTTTCGCACTTCTACTACATCCGGTGGTAACATATGGTAGGACATTTTTATCTCTCCACCTCTTCCTTCCACCTCAGCTCTATTTCTACGTATTCAACGCTGTGCTTGGGGATGCGCGCACCCTCCCACGAGAGAGACCTTATCGGTCAGACCTATTTCCCGCGACGACAGTGCTCCGTTTCAGTCTCGTGAAACAAGATCGATCTTGTCTCCCCTTATGTGGCATAAAATAGTGGTATTGGAATACGAATTTATTCTCTGTGACGGCTAGCGGTTACTGGATCGAAGCGGAGCCCACTTCGTCCACTTCCGATCGTCCGCCCTTGTACACTCCCTTCGCGTGTCTTTCCTCTATCTATCAGTTTGCCTTGCGACGGTGGTGGCAGAGTCTCTTTAATTCTCGCGCCAGTCTGGTTGCCTATTTCGGGCGCTGTTCATGGTGGTGAACACCCCCGTGATTCACGTATCCCCGGGTTCCCTCGTATTCTCTGCGCCGATAGAGTATAGAGCAAAAAAGAGAGAGAGAGAGAGAAACCGCAAGATAGACAAGAAATAGATAGGTAAAGAAAGCTGCGCGTGTCCGTCTGGAACATCCATCCCATGCGTCAGGCGCGCGGGGTGAGAAGCGTCGAGCGTCGTGGCTGCAGCGTCGTGACGACGACGACGACGATGACGACGACGGCGACGACGACGACGACGCCGACGACGACGCTCGGTCGCGCGCACGAGCTCTCGGCTCTGCGTGATCAGTGGCAGTGAGAAGCAGCGCGTCGCGTCGCGTCGCGCCGCTCCACGAAGCGTCGTACGAGCGACATGCGCTACGGTTGGCGGCGGCCTTGTCAAGTGTCGACTGTGACCAGGAGGACGGGGACGAGGCCGAGGCCGAGGCCGAGGACGAGAACGAGAACGTCAACGACGAGGACCAGGACAACGAAAACGGGAATAACGCCGGTAACGAGGAAACCGAGAACAAAGGCGACGACGTCAAGGTATTGGTGGTGAGAGAGACGTCACGAGGTGTACGGGACGCATAACGAGGAAACCCGGGCGACTGGCATGAACGACGACGTCGTGGACGACATTGCCGAGGAGGACTCTCACGGCGATGCCCGTGAAGGTAAGCGCTACGGGCACCACGACGACGAAGACGACGACGATCGCGTTCCTCGTGCACACCCCGACCGTCGTACTGCCGGCCCGACTGATGACACCCGGCCGCAGCGATTCCGCAGCGGTCTCGGCGAACAAGATCGCGCCTCCGCAATCCACGTGCACATAGGCTGATAATCGGCGTTAAGAAATTTTGCGTCGTAGAAAGCGCGATCCTCGAAGTGATTACAAGTGACGAGCCGCCCGTGGCGTTTCTCGTCGAACCCCTCGAGGAAGATTTCTCTAAAATTCCCTACTTCTCTGAGTGTTTCACTTCCGTGAAAAGTAGTCGCAGACGAAGAGGATCAATCGGCCCATCGAATGGGAAAATCACTTTCCTCGGAAAGATTCTTTCTTTCCTCGAGGATCTTCCCCTGAAGAAAAGGTCTCTTCCTAAAGGACACAAGAATTACAAGGACCGAGACCTTCCTTCGCAAGAGAAAGCACGCTAATTGACATCGAGTGTGCCTTTCCTCCGGAGAAATTCTACGCAGAGGTATCTAGTTGATCGAATAAGCCGGATCAACGCGAACGGTGTCGTTCCTTTGCGAAATAGCAATTGTGTCCTTCTCCTCCTCGAGCCTTCATCGAAGAGACCGCGTTCGCTGGTATCGAAAAAAATCTTGGTGAGATTCGATAGCAATTTGAAAAGCGTGCTCGAACATCCGAGGGTGTCACGCGTTGGATTCACGCCATCCCGACCAGCAAATAGACACGATTGACTTGCTGATCGGTAGAGCCTGTGAGAAAGAGTTCGCGTGTGGCATTCCCTGTTTTGCATGCGGTGAAAATAGGACGAAGCGTCGTAGCGAGTAATGATAAATTCCTTCGGGAAAGTCGCGGGAGGAAGATTGCATAACACACCACGTTCCCTCCCTACATCCATTGTACCACCCTCTTCCTCCCCTTCTCCTGCGCGCGCGCGCATTTCCTCGTCGTCCTTTTTCTCTCTCTCTGACTTTTCGCGCCTCCTCTTCAGAGATACGTCTCATCTCGTATATCGAATATCTAATTAAAGGCTGACCGATAATCTTTTTTTATCACGTCTGTCCCCGCTCAGTAAGACGCGCGATAGCTCCATCCCCCTTGTCCCTTGCTCCGGCATCCGGCGTTGGAAAAGGATTGCACATTGCACGCGACATCGATCCGCGCACGCCTCTTCTCTCTTTCTCTCTCTCTTTCTCCCTCGCTCTCCTTTTTTTTTTCCTTCCGCGGGATTATGTAAAGCAGACAGTACTGGACGCCGGCCAGGACATTGACTGCTCGTCTTCGTGACGTTGGGAATTGTTTCTCCGTTAAGACGAAAAGAGAGGTAACCGCGCGCTGTCGATGCCTCTCTCTCTCTCTCTCTCTCTCTCTCTCTCTCTCTCTCTCTCTCTCTCTCT